CCACGATGAGCACTAACAGAGAGCTGGAATCGGAGGCGGAGCCGGGACTGAAACCCAGACACTGGGATGTGGGATGCAGCCATCTCAGGCAGCGAATGAGCATCTTCGGAGGTGGGTCAAGCACTTGATGCAAAGGTGAGGCACAGCTGAGAATCACCGTGGTTACGGGTTGGGTCCACCCCCGCAGGCCGAAAGTCACTGAGGCTGTGGGTCTCAAACTAGAGAGGGCATCAACCTCATCTTGGGGTGGGGGAGGGAGAGGGGCTCACTGTGGCGTCTGTCCCAGCACTTCAGGTTGTACAGACTGAGCATGTCTCTTTTGAACAAGTTCCCAGCGTCTCCTTGAAGGACCACAGCGGGAGGTCCTTTGTTCAAAGAGAGCAGGCCCCATCCAGGCTCTTAGCCCCCATCTGTGATGAGGATCCCCTGGAGAGCTTGCAGAAGGTCCCCTGGGGGTGATGTCAGTGTCACCAGACAGCCAGTTTAGGCCTGAGAGAGCTGGAAGTCCCTGCAAGCCACAACATAATGCTATCCCTTTACCTGTCAATCAAAATGCTTCCTTTCCCAGGATGCACCTGCTGCATCCGGGACCTACATCGGAGGACATGATGACAGTATGGATATTAAGGTCCACGTGGAATTTATGGAGGTGTTGTGAAATTCACAGGTGGCTTCCTTATGTAGAGGCACCCCACCCCCACCTAGTAAGCCACCAATGAGGGAGCTCTCTCTCTCTCTCTCTCTCTCTCTCCACAAACCACAGTTGGAGGTGCTACTTTGCTACTTAAGTGCTCTCTCTCACTCTCTCTCTTCCTTCTCTCCCTCCCTTCGGACAATCCTCTGGCCCACTCATGATGAGTGCTTCTCTCCGTGGGGAGCAACCCACGCTCACACATGAATGTGTGTTCTCTTTCTCACCTGTTGAATAAATCTTGCTGTCACTTTGTGCACCTTGTGCATATGTGCACTTGCAATGCTTCTCTTCGTGTGAGACAAGGGCCTGGAGTCAGGATTAGAAAACTCCTGAGCCCGCGGCACCTGCTCCCCAGGCTGCTTCCCATACAGAGCAACGCAGTGTCTGTGGGAGGGACCGAGGCACCTGCGGTTCAAGTTCCTCAGGCAGCACCGTGCATAGCAGGATTGGGAGCCATCACCCTGGGAAGGTTTCAAAGTTCTGTTGATTTCTGCCTACCTCAAGAGCAGATGAGAACAATGCAGTGGGAGAGAAAGATGACAACAGCAGAGTGGGGTGATGGACCCTAAAGGGTCTGCGCACAGCCCCGGGAGCTCCCTGTCATTAGCCTTGGCACCCATCTTCCTGGTCCAAGAAAATTCATGGAGACAGCAGGGTCCTTGCCCTATGTGGCTGCTGGTGTAGGCAACCAGGTGGAGGCACGGCTGGAGGAGGATGGCTGGCCACCTGCTGGTCTATGCGTGGACCCGAGGGTGGGATAGCAGGACCTGGGTGTGTGTCCTGGGAGGTCGGAGCAGAGCTGTTGTCCTGCTCAGACCACTGTCTGGGGGTGCTGGATTAGTGAAAAGGAGGAGCATTGCATAGGCCTGGAACATGGCCTTGGGTCTTCATGCCAGGCCAGGCACCAATCTGGTAAAAGCCAAGCTCCTTGGGGTGGGTATTTCTTAACAGCATTTAAGGCTCCTCTTTGGACACACATATTCCATATTCCATACCGGACTGCTTGGGTTTGAGTCCTGGCTATTTCTTACCCCAGCTTCCTCTTAATGAACACCCTGGGAGACAGCAGGTGATGGCCCAGGCACTTGGGTTCCTGAGCCCCAGCTGGGAGACCTAGATGGAGTTCCAGGCTCCCGGGCTTGGCCTGGCTCAGGCCTGGCTATTGTGGAGTGAACCAGAGAATGGAAGATCTCATTCTGTCTTTTTTCCCCCCTCGGAGTCTCTGCTTTTTAAATAATGAAACAATAAGCCAAAATGTTCTTTAAAAACAAAAAAAGCCAAACTCCTTGCTAGGGAGAACTTTCCAGATCCAGCCAGGAGGAAGCATGGGTGCGGCTTTGTGACTGTGCCTGCATCACAGACAGCACTCATCTCTCTCCAGAATCACAGGACAAGGACTCAGAGCGAGGCTCCCTCCTTAAGGGAGAGCTTTGTTTTACCGTGGGGGTTTAATTCTCCTTTGGAACACTGGGCAGTGAGCCTTCATGTTTCACTGTCACTATCTTTGTGTGCAGGGGTCAGTTCTTCTGGGGGTGCCCTGGCTGGCTGTCGGCTGTGCAGAGACGGCCTGGGATAAGTAGCCCATGGGAGTACATTTTCATGACTAAGTTTTTGCTCAGGGCAAAAGAGATCTTAAAACACAGACGAGAGAGGATAAAATCGCTGTCTCCCTGGAGGCTCCCTTTGTGCCTAGAATATTCTATCATTTTGGAAATGTAAAATAGTCATGAAAATCTCAGTGATTTCACTTTGCAAGTTTCTTCTAGGAAAGTATATACAATGAAGCATCAAGGAGTGTATTGACTGATCGATTTGAAAGGTGGAGTGACAGAAAGAGGGAGAGAGCTTCCATCCACTGGTTCACTCCCCCTAATGCTTGCAACAGTCAATTCCGGAAGCCAGGAACTACATCTGGATTGCCCACGTGGGTGGCAGGGACCCAACTCGTTGGGCCATCCTCTGCTGCTTTCCCAGGCACTTCAGCACAGAACTGGGTTGGAAGTGCGGCAGCCAGGATTCAAACCGGTATTCAAACCGGATGTCGGTGTTGTTAGCAGGCTGATCTCTGTGCCACAATGCCAGCCCCCAAATGCAACATTTAAAGTGGGGTATCCTAGGGGCTCCTCTGAGATTCTCCCTAATTGGAAACTCAGGCTTTTCGCTAAGGACAACTACCTGGGTGGAAAAAAAAATCTGTGATAGCATTTTTGAGAAGTGAACAAAATAGAGTTAGAGGTTTCCTGGTGCTGGGAGACAGGAGGTCAACCTATTATTGGCCCAAATTCAAGCAGGATCTCGGCTGAGGCCCTGAATCAAGTCACTTCCCTCCCTTGTGGTCCCCTAGGTTTCCTTATCTCTGCGAGGGAATGAGTATCTTTTTTTCTATGTCTAAGAAGCTCAGAGAACATTAAAGATTCCCAAAGCTTAAGCTAAAGTTATGCAATGCCTGCATGCCAATGCTGAGAACTTGGCAAATGGAATCCCCAAGCAATGACACCATTAGCTTGGGTGTCTGCGGAATTTTCATAATTATAACGTCTGCCCACCAGCCGGAAGATAGCGCATATTTCTCACCATATGCTCCACACGCAGTTTGTTTCTCTGATGTCAATCACTCGTCAAAGCCCCACTGCCCAGCCTGCTGCCCCTGGCTGCCCCTGGGGGTCCCAGGATGGAGTCCTCATGGCCTTTTGGCCAAGAAAATGATACGGACAATAAACTGACTCTGTCATCAAAAGAAAAACAAAAGAACTTTTATTTTTGTTCTATTGCATAAATAATGGTAAATTAGACTCTTTTTATACAGATTATATATTTACAGACAAGTTTGGTTAGAGAAAACATCTGATAAATATGGCAGTCAATTTTCCTTTATACACTAAGATAAGAGATTAATAATATATACTCCATTTGGTCAGGAAGTTGCATGCGGAGTTAATTTATATTAATATTTACATTGTATATAAAGATTCCCTTTCAACGAGTCTGCTGACTCGGTCATTACCGAAGGGCAGAGATCACCGAGTTCTACTGCGTGGGAAAACAGTGGGGGTGTGGATGAGGTACAAGGGGAAGTGTGTGATCCGTGACTTGGGTCTCACTGGCTCACTTTGCGTACACGCACCGCCAGGCTCCAATCATCTGATCACCATCGTCCTCAACTGTGCTTCTAGCTCCTCCCACCGCGGTGGGGCGAGCAGTCCAGTCACTGACTTCTGTGCTTTGAGAAACCACTCACGCATGTCTCGAATCTGTGACCACTGGGATCACGGTGACCCCACCCTCACCCCACCCTACAGAGGCTGACCCCTGCCTGGCCAGACTCTGCATCAGATTTCCAGCCAAAGGGCCCTGTGTCTCGTTAGTCTTGGAGAAATAGCTTCTATTGGATTCAGAACTGAGCAAAAACAGCGAAACCCTGCTAAGACGCGACTCAAGGGCTCCCTGCCCACTCAGCTCGGTTTTCAGGGCAGAAATCACATTGTTTTGGCTCTCTGTTGAAGAGGGCAGAGAGAGACACTGGCCTGTGAAAATCAAGGCTCCTTTCTGGTTTGGGAAGAGCAGAAGGGCTTGTTGTACAAACAATGCCTGGGTCCTCAGTATACTTTAGGGCAAAGGGAAACAGGACACAAACCTAGGACGTGGTGTGGGGCAGAAGGGGCCTGCAGCTGCTTTCTTCCTGCTCTGCATCCCCATCACTGCCCAGTCACAGCTACAGCAGGTGCGCGGCTATAGCAGGTGCACGGCTATAGCAGGTGCGCGGCTATAGCGGGTGCGCGGCTACAGCAGGTGCATGGCTACAGCAAGTGCCCCTGATCGATATCACTCCACAGCCACCACAGGTAGCTGGGCACCCAACTCAGACTGCTCATGTAATTCCTGACACTCACCACGGATCACGACTCTTCCTTCTGCAGTGCTGCGAATGACCACAAAAACCACTGCCAGCGAGCAGACTGGCACAGCTGCTCCAGTGGCCAGAAAGGAAGGCAAAGGAGTGAAAATTGTGCTCTTTATCTAGAAGCGTCTAGGGAGAACTTCACACAAGCAGAGACAGGCGTCTTGGAGTCTTTGTTTCACCCTAATCACTCATGCACTCTGCCCCAGGACACCCATCTGAGGGGGCTGTGTCCCCTTTGTGTTCACACAGGTGACCACAAGGACGTAGAACCCCTCTTTGATTCTCACTTGAATCGGCAAGTTCCGAAGGGAATCAACAAATCACTTCTGCCACACACAGCCACTGGCGTCGTTTGGTTGAAAGACCAGGGATCCCAAAAGAGATGCTTTATCATGAGTGTCTCTTGGGACTTGTGCTAAAAAAAAAAGCAGCCGTTGGGTCAGGAATGCAATGTGGGGAGGCGACACGGTGACCCTCCAACAGTGGCTGTCCACTCTGGCTTGTGTATCAAACACAAACAGAATGCTACAAGGGAGGAGCTTTGCTGTTCCTTTCCTCTGACTAAACTGATGAACCAGAGAGAGAAGCCACTCAAAGCAAAGTGGACGGAAGGATCCTGGCCCCTGCCCTTCCCACAGATAGGATGCCCAAGCTTCCAAGTCCTTGCTCTGCTCCCTTGGCCTCTTGGATCCACAGGTCTGAGGCACCAAGAGAGGCACTCTGTGCTTGGCAGGTGTCAGCATCCTTCAGGGATCCTCCAGCGTCTGCTTCCTTTAAACTTGGACGATAACTTCCAACAGTGTGGGAAACACTGGCTCAAAAGTCAACTCACCACCCCGAGGGGAAGAGGTAGAGGAAGTCAGGCCCTGTGCATGGAGGATGCTCAATGGATAAATCACCCATGGTTGGAGTAGGACCAGGGGGCTGGGCTAATTCTGTCCAGATTTTGAGGACTTGTCTCTTTGAGATTAGAAAAAAAAATGGTTTCTTATGGTATCCTTCAAGCCAATTGAAGCAAATTAATGTTGCCTTGAAGACTTTTTGAGCATTAATATTAGGTCCCTGGAGACCAAATAAAGAGCATCTCAAATCAATGTGAAATAGAAACACAGCTGATAACATGGCCATGTGCATTAGCAGTGGGCACAGGCTACCAGGAGGGAGGCTTAGCTGGTTGGTGCACTTGACCTTATTCTTCCAAACCAGCCATCTATTGCAGGGCCACAGAACTGAGGACGGTCCCCTGAGTGACTTAGTCAAAGCAAGTGTGATGTGAAGCTAAACAGTTCTGACACTTAAATTATGGAGACAGGGTCCATAAGAGGCAGCCTGAACCCTCCTCTATTCTCCCATCACTATAAATAATTAACTTGAACAGCTTAGCTGCTGAAGATGGCTTCTTTTCTGTTTCTGACAGTTTTTTTTTTCTTTCTAGGGGAACTGAGCGATCAGGTAGTGAGGGAGGATGGCTAAGACAGGGTCTTTAGGTTCGGGAGCCCTGAAGAGACCACCAACAAAGCTGTGACCTGAGGTGCCTGGTCCTCCATTCCTCCGTGTCATCACAGCATGATGGACAAAGGGGCCTCTTCTGGAAGGGGGGATTCCAGACCCTCCCTGCCTCTCAGTGGAACAGGGTGAATTAGACAATTATGGGGGTCTTTGGAGCGATAATCAGTGCAGTAAATGAACCCACTATGTTTTGAGCCACACATGGCCAGGCCAGCCCTTGGTGGTCACACACTTAATTTTCCAGCTATGCCTTTGTCCCTTCCCAGGCAGGTCGTTAGCTACAGGTTAAGAACAATATGCAAAATTCTCTTTGATTTATAGCCCGAGTCTGGACTTGAGCCTCGTAGGAGGAATTTGAAATAACAGATGACCTTCTCCTCCCAGTCGTGAGATGGATTGCTTTATGATTCAGTGGGAGGGAGGCTGAGACAGTCATTACTGTCCATCTTTCATTAGGTTCTCTGGGATAACCACACCACCATCAGACCATCTGTCACGCGAAATTTGAGAAGGGAGCCAAGTATGGAGAGAAAACAAGACTCTAGCACACATCTTGTTCTCTGCAGATAAAACACCTAGAAACTTCTAGAAACACCACCGGGGCCTGCCTGAGACCACACGTCAATTCAGGTTCATTTAAGTTCATGTTTCTGGCTCGGCAGAGTGAGCTTCTCAACAGGCAAACAGATGCTTTTAAAGATTGCAGCCTGAAAATCTTTTTCGGCCTTCAAGTGTATTTCTGCCTATGTGCCTAGATGAAGGGGCCCTGGGGTTGTGGAATATCGGGTAGAGGGTGTGGGTGAGGAGGGCACCATCGAGCTCACGGGTGGCTCCTGTTCTCCTGAGTCAACAGAGCCACAAGTTCAAATACAGAGAAAAAGGAAGAGAAACCACTGGATTCTTGGAGGGTGATCCCGCCCCCAGCAGGGTGCAGATGGGCGGAGCCAGGGCGCAATCAGAACGGGTATGCTCTTTGAGAGTGTTCCTTAAGAAAATCTTCCCTATTTTTGTGTGCCTTGGCAAACTCCGGGTGGAATGCAAAGGTTGCCATGGCAATACTTTTTTTTTTTTTAACAGATTGGTCACATGGGACCCACGCACGTTCTGGGAGCCACTGCTCAATGTCCCCGATGGGGGGGCTCTGTCTGCATCTGGGATGGTGAGAGACAGTTTCTCTGGGGAGTTAAGGGGGCCAGGCTCTGTTGCCTTTTCTCTCCCAAGTAAAAATGTGCCCCCCAACCCCGGAGGGCATCTACTCCTGCAGTAAGAATGAGTCAGGCTGGGCTTGCCCATGGCCCGGCCATGCCACAGCTGGCAGCCCTTCTTGGAGAGCTGAGCAATCAGGTGTCGAGGGAGAGAAGGGTTCCAGGAAGTCCTGGAGATCATGGACTCTTAGCATTGTGGGGGTCACTGTGGGTTCTGATTTGAGATCCTTACTAACAGGTGTTCTCCAGGGCAGGGCCGTTCTGCAATTCTCCTGCATGGATTCCTGGACAGACTCAGGCAGGGTTGGGCTCCTACGGCTCAGTTCCTGCAGAAGTCATGGGAGTAGGGTTGCCTGTCATCTTACATAGATCTGAGATGCACTGTCTAAGCTAAGCAGCCAGGGGCAAGTCACGGGCACCAGCTCTGAGCCCCAGAGACCAAGGAAGGCCATGAGCTCAGGGCTGCCTCCGCAAGCTGTGTCTCTCGGCCCCTGAGTGTCTTGTGCAAGCTTACTGCATGGGAGATGAGCTTCCAGACTCTCAGCAAGAATTCTGTGGCTTCCTTCCCTAGCACACCCAGAGCGGTGCACTCTTCTTGGGGAGGGTCGCCATTGCTTCCAGGACCTGGGAGAGGAGAAAGTGGTCCCTTTTGGGAAAAGATACTGAGGACTTTGTAGGGGACAGGCTACAGAACTGGTGCCTCTACAGAACTCCCTTTAATCCCCACCCTGGTACAATGGCTAATTTCTGTGTCCATGAACTCTGACCTCTGCCTCCTTTCGGGTCAACAGGCGCCAGTGGGAGGTACAAGAACTTGGAGGAGGGCAGCCTTTGAAGAAGTGCTCACTTCTGTCCGGACGGCCAGCTCAGTGCAGCCTTGCAGTCTCATCCAGGGGAATGGGTCCTGAGTTGCTATTCTGTCTATGTAACATCCTGCACCCCCAGCCACCCCCACTCCCAGGAGGGTGTGGCTTAGGGGTTCAGAGGTCAGCAAAGCGCGGAGAAGCACTTCCCTGCCAGGCTGGCTATGCACTCACTCCCAACCACATACAGCAGGAAGAGGGCGAATTGAGCTGGGCAAAATCATCCAATGGATTAGCATTGTGCACTGGATCTCTTCTGGGTTAGAAATCTCATCCCGAGGGGACCTGGGTAAGTCAGCCGAAGGGAGAGACAGACAGGGGCAGGTGTGAGTTCATGTGGCAGGAGAGGCAGGTGTTGGGGTGGGGGTGGGGGGCTGGATGTGCCAGGTTCCAGGTGAGTCTACAGGGAGATTCTCAGCCCCTGTGTCACTCTTCCCTTGCTATGGCTCAAACCTCTGTGTGACTTGTGCTCATCATGAGTAGTTTCATTCTCACCAAGGTGGGCAAGTTTTTAGAGCTGTCTCCAGGCTGGGGCGGGCAGCTCTCGTATTGGCTGGGTTGAAGTAGAAGACTGAAGCCCCTCGGACACTCCAAGTCTAAGGAAGCAGGGAGGGGGGAAGTGGAGGGGTGAGTAGGCTCCAGGAGGGGTTCAGGTACACACACAAACACACACACACGCACTGTACCCCCAAACCGCCTCCACAGCATTGGGAGGGGAGAGGTCCTGGTTCCTCAATACTGGAAGAAAGGAGGGGGCATGATGCTTTAGGGAGCCATCAGAAAAAGATAGGAGCAAGACAATTCTACTACCAAAATCAAGACCTGAGTATAAAGGGAAATAACACATCCGGAGATTACTGGCTAATCTGCTGATGCGAGTGCGAATTAAACAGTGGTGACTGACAGGGCACCTGGGCAAAGTTGGCAAACGACAGAGCTGATGGGGGTGTTGGAAACCGACCGCCGGAGCCAGTGCCCTCACCTCGCCAAAGGATGTGCAGGCGGGAGTCAGCCAGGTGTCATGGTAGCGAAGCTCATTAAGCTCCCCAGCGCCCCCTGTCTTTCCCCACTGAATCCATGCAGAATTTGAACGCCGGAAGGTTTTTCGGAGAAGCACAGTAGTGTGATCTTCCGCTGGGGAAGACCAACTAACAACGCAAACTCCAGGATGAGGCAAAGGTAAGACGCACGTATGTACATGGATTTTTAACTTAAAGAGGCTGCCAGGCACGACATCCTGGAGCAGGTCCATTGCTCGGGGCGGCTGGGGGTGCAGAGTGAGCAGCTGCCCTGTCGGTCAAGGTCCCTCCTCTTGCTCGAGCCTGGCTGTCTTCCCTTTTTCCCTCCCCCACCCCCCAAAAAAGCGGGGATGAGCCCAGGAGGGAGGACAAGCTACTAGCCAGCCATCAGGGAGGAATGATGTCACACGAGAGGGACCCAGAACTTGATGTCAATAGCGATGCTCACAATCACGCTTCTCTCTCTCTCTCTCTCTCTCTCTCTCTCTCTCTCTCTCGGCAGCAACAGGTGCAAAGCTGGGAGAAGGCTCTCTGAAGATTCCAGAATGCTGGTGCGGGGTGGGCTCTAGGAACAGAAAGCCAAGTGCCACGGAACCAACCGAGAGGGCCCCAACTCTGCCCGCCGGAGTCCTGTAGTAAAAGGCAGTAAGAACGGAAGCAGTGGGGGTGCAGCAGCAGACCGCTGGGGGCCGCACCCCATGTCATGGCTTTCCCCTCATGCCTCGGGGGTGGGGAGGTGTGTGGTGGTCTCCACGGGGTGGTGGAAGGAAGCCAAAATAGCACGACCCGAAAGTCAGCCTTTTGCACGCGAGGGTCCACCTTGGGTCGGGGAAGGGTCTCTGCTGACCTGTGGGTTGGACGAAAGGGGAGTGGAGGTGACTGTGTTCACGCCTCTCTCTCGCTCTCCTACGCCACCGGGCCACCTGATGGCCAACCGGAATTTCGAGATGAAAACAAAGTTTTGCTTCGGAGTTACTACTGGCGGTCGAAGCGGAAACTCGGAACTCCTGGCTATTTATTGCATTAGGAAACGAAAACCATTAAAGCGTTGAAGACAGCCCTTGTATGTCCCTGCCAAGGAGATGAAGTTGATCGGCAACCCCGGGTGCGCTGCAGCCTTGGGTCCCGTGCTGAGCCGTGGTCCGAGTCCATCCGTGAGGTCCAGGTCTGCGGTGGGCAGGAGCGGAGACTGCCCGCGGGGCATGCACATGCGCACTAGCTGGCGGCGCGGCGGGGCTGCGGGGGGCTGCGGCTACTCCATACCGCTCCGCAGGATCTGGTTGGCCGCGATCAGCATGACGCTGATGATGAAGGCCATGGCGAAGGCGCAGATGAGGCTCTTCCGCACGCAGGTCTGTCTGTTCTGCTTCTGGGAGTGCACTGGAAGTGGGTGGGGTGGGTGAGGGGACACGTTGGGGAGGGGAGGCGTGGCGGGTTGGAGGAGAGAAGAGAGAGAGATGGCAGTGAGACCAAACGCACCTCTTTCTCAACAAGCCAAGAGCAGGTCCCCCTGTGGGATGGGACTGCTAACATGGAGACAGCCGAGCCCTCATGGGGGCGCTGGGGGAGAGACCGAACATCACAGCTCCGGTAAAACCTCTACGACACAGGCCGTGTGGCTGATGTGACGTTGGAGGTAAGGGAGCAATTTCCAGATAGAACAGAACTAGAGTGACGTTCGGAGCCGGACACCGTATGGAATGTTCCAGAAGGCACCCTGCGGTCACTGCTACGTGTCCCGGATGCAGATGGTGCAAGGGTTGGGTGCTTTGCTGGGAGCACCTGGCCTTCCGTGGCATTGTTCTCTGAGTGCCTCTGGCTTTTTTTTTTTTTTTTTTCCTCCCCAGCTGTTCAAACAGTGGCTCTGCAGGAGGGGTCCCTGGACCAGTTGCATTCTGCTTTTCCCTGAAGCTTCGCAGAAATGCAGATTCTCACATAGACTCATGTGGACTGCAGATTATTGGCCAGACCCACTCCAGCTCTGCTGGAACAGCCTACGGGGTAAGGGTCCAGCAATCTCTTTGAGCAGCCCTGCCCACGATGCTGCTAAATTTTTTTTTTTTGACAGGCAGAGTGGATAGTGAGAGAGAGAGACAGAGAGAAAGGTCTTCCTTTGCCGTTGGTTCACCCTCCAATGACCACCGCGGCTGGCGCGCTGCAGCCGGCGCACCGCGCAGATCCGAAGGCAGGAGCCAGGTGCTTCTCCTGGTCTCCCATGGGGTGCAGGGCCCAAGCACTTGGGCCATCCTCCACTGCCTTCCCAGGCCACAGCAGAGAGCTGGCCTGGAAGAGGGGCAACCGGGACAGAATCCGGTGCCCTGACCGGGACTAGAACCCGGTGTGCCGGCGCCGCTAGGTGGAGGATTAGCCTATTGAGCCGCGGCGCCGGCCATGCTAAAGTTTGAGAAGTGGGGCTTGTGCATGGGTCAGGTGTGAGGCCGGGGATGGGGGTGGGGCCCAAATCTCTCTCTTTCTGGAGCCAGGGGGTTCTGCACCAGGTCCTGTAGTGACCAACATCCCCCCAAGATCCTGACTGAGCAATCAATGCCTTCTCCTATTCTTTCTGTCGCTCCTGCTACATTGCGCACCATCTTTTTTTTTTTTTTTATAAAAACTATGCATGTAACACCCTCCCCCCACCCCAAAGACTTAGCTGGGGTTATCAATGGATCAGATATAGCGAGCTGCAAATCACAAGAAAGAAAAGCGTGGACAAGGCGCCCTGGGGTGGAGCAAGTTTCTCTTCTAGGCATCACTGCTCAGACGGGAACCTCAGCTCTACTCTGATGTCACAATTCTGTTCCCTCTACACCTGCTCCTCTCTCCCACCCACCTTCCCCTCCCCCCACACTTCCACTGGTCCTCCCCTCCCCCTTGATGGCCTGCTGGGGACATCTCCTTTGCAGTCCTAGGGACAGGTGGAAACATTGCACTGGCTAGGATGCTATCACTAAAGGGACTCTCAGCTCCACTGCAGAATGAGAAAGTCACATCTCTTTGGGTTTTCCAGGCTCTTCAGAGAAATTAATTAGGCAACTGCTGGGCCCCTGCCTGCAGAGTTTCGGGTTCAGTAGCCCTGGGTGGGGTTATGTGGCGGGAGACAGGAGGGTGTGTGTGTTGAGAAAATCAGACTGGGGAAGATGGTTCATTAGATTCATTTGATTAGATTAAAATAGATTAGATTCACCTGTCAAAGAAGACTGGCAAAAACGAAAGGTTCACCTGTCTCTCCAGAACCTGCAAAAGTTCAATGTCAATGACCTCTCCTCTTTGCCACTACATGGCTCCTTCAAATCCCTGCAAATCGCAGGGAAGAAGCAGGAAGTGGACCATGTTTCCAAAGGCGAATGGAGCTTCCTTAATGGATGACGTCAAACAGTCCCCACTTCCCAGAGAGCACCCCACCCCCACCCCCACCCCCAAGACGCTCCCTATCCAATAGGTGTTGATTGTCCCTGACTCATCTCTTCAGTTGGATCTTGCTGTCTTTAATCCATCTGCATCCATGGGATTTCCGCATCCTTGGGGAGATTTCAAGGATTTGTGGTCCAGTGCTCCACCTGCTGATTGAGTCTGAAACTGTTGCCTGGAGGAAGACAGTTTTGTTGATGGGGAGATGGGCCTCCTCCCAGGAGGGGGAGATGTGGAAAGATGCCAACTATCAGGAAGGAAAAAAGAGGTGATTTGTAGGAAGGACAGAGCTGGGGCAGGCATTGTGGCACAGCGGGGTTAAGCCACTGCTGTTGAAGCCAGCATTCCATATGGGAGTGCTGGGCTAAGTCCCAGCGGCTCCACTTCCAGTCCTGCTCCCTATCGATGCATCCTGGGAGACAGCAGATGATGGTGGCCCAAGTGCTTGGGTCCCTACCATCCACGTGGGAGACCCAGATGGAATTCCTGGCTCCTGGCCCAGCCTTGGCTGTTGCAGGCATTTGGGGAGTGAACCAACCGATGGAAAAAAAAAAATCTCTCCCCTCCACCTGCCTTCTCTTCTCCTCACCCTATCACTCTACCTTTCTAATAAATAAAGTAAATCTTTAAAAAATGAAAAAAAAAATTTCAAAAGAAGCTTTCCATATTGGAAAACAAGATGGGTTACATGGAAGTCGCAAACCAGAGGCGGTTCTGGGTCCTGGCTGATTTCTTTTTTTCTTTTTCTTTCTTTCTTTTTTTTTTTTTTTTTTTTGACAGGCAGAGTGGACAGTGAGAGAGAGAGGGACAGAGAGAAAGGTCTTCCTTTTGCCATTGGTTCACCCTCCAATGGCCGGCGCGTTGCGGCCGGCGCACCGCGCTGATCCGATGGCAGGAGCCAGGTGCTTCTCCTGGTCTCCCATGGGGTGCAGGGCCCAAGCACTTGGGCCATCCTCCTCTGCACTCCTTGGCCACAGCAGAGAGCTGGCCTGGAAGAGGGGCAACCGGGACAGAATCCGGTGCCCTGACTGGGACTAGAACCCGGGGTGCCGGCGCCACAAAGTGGAGGATTAGCCTAGTGAGCCACGGCGCCAGCCCTGGCTGATTTCTACTAATGCATGCTGGGTACCCCCTTGGGGTGGTGATGCCTCTGAGAGCAGCCCTATCCTATTCCATCCCCAGGGCGGATGGAAAGTCAGGAAGAGAACACTGTGCATTTAGAAAGCCGAGGGAGGGTTTTTGTTGAAGGCTTTCTCTGTGAAGCACACTCAGGAAAAAAGGCTAAGCTAAGGGCAGCGGGATTTTACCCCCAGGAGAGCGGCTGCAACTTTGTTCTCTAAATCCTTCAAAGAAGTGGGAGGGAGAGATAAGGAGTGGAGGGAGTGCCTGGAGAATCCAGTTGAACGTATTCCCATTCGCTGGTCACAGTACCTCTGAAACAGATTGCAAGCCGAAGTCTGTACTCACACTTTGTGCCTTGGTGGGACTCATTTTATGCCGAATTCTGGCATGTCCACTAATTATGCGGTATTGCAAGAGGTCATGGCTTTGGGGCTAGTCCAAAGCAAAAATCCCGATCATTCCACATGTTGGTTGTCTGAGCTGGAGCAAAGCAATTTCCTTGGGCCTCAACTTCCTCATCTCTGAAATGGGAGTACTAAGATCTACCTCATTGTGAGGACTAGGGACATATAAATGTACTGGATTATTGTTTGGACTCAAAGAGGGCTAACTCCCTTTTTTGAATCTTTTCCAACATTTCACTTACTGAGTATGCAGTGGGCTGTGAGCAGTGTGTGTTTGTGTGTGTGCAGGATTGCAAGGTGCACATCTCCTAGGAGCTGGATATGTGACCTCCATTGGCTAGATGAAGAGCCTGATGCTCCAAAAAGTAGACTCCAAGGTCACTGGCAACCGAGGTGGGATTAGCCCAGGGCACCAATTCATGTATTTCTTAATAATAACTTAACTCTGGGCCAGCACTGTGGCACAGTGGGTTAAGTTGCAGTCTGCAGTGCTGGCATCTAACATGGGCACTGATTCAAGTCCCAGCTGCTCCAGCTCCCTGCTAATGTGCCTAGGGCAAGCAGTGGAGGATGGCCCAAGTGTCTGGGCCCCTGCCACCCACAAGGGAGACCTGGAAGAAGCTCCTGGCTCTTGGCTTCTGCCTGGCCCAGCCCTGGCCATTACGGCCATTTGGGGAGTGAATTGGCAGATGGAAGATCTCTCTCTCTCTCTCTCTATATATATATATATATCTCTGTCTGCCTCTACCTCTTTCTCTGTAATTCTGACTTATAAATAAATAAATTTTTTTTAAAAGATAATTTAAGGCCTCTCTGGCTATTGCTATGATTTAGGTGAGGTTTGAGTGTCCCCCTAGACATCATGTATTGAGACTTAAGCAGTAAGAGGGCGTGAACTTGAGCCAGTCCTGGTATATTTAGAGGCGGTGCCTTGAGAAGGAAGACTAGGTCAGTAGGGTGCAGCCCCAACGAGTCTACCCTGATGACTTCATTTAAAGCCACAGAACAGAAACATGTATGTTCCCATCATGGGTGGGATGCCACGTTCTGCCCAAAGACTCTGGCATCACCAGACGAGAACTGGGAGTTAAAGTAAGCCTCTTGTCTCCGTAGCACCATTTTGCACCATTTTGCACCATGCCCTACTCCTATTTGCTTTTCCTCTGCTACTCCTAGCCCCCTGGACCCCTGCTCCCTGGCCACCTCTGTTCCAGCCAAGCAGGGGTCTTCCCTGCCCTTTTCCCCCAAGACCCGACCCTGCCAGTACCACCTGCCAGCAGGGTCCTCTGACCGCCCCTGTCCTTTCTCCTGAGCCCAGCAACTGAAATCTCCCTGGAAGTTTCTCAAGGGCTTTCTCCTTTTATTTATTTGCTTGTCGTTAATGGTCTGGCTGTAAATATTTATTTTTCATTCAGCTAGAGTTCACACACCATAAAACTCAAC